ATGTGACATGATGGATGTTGAATGGGAGCTGGCATTTTAGTCCAGGTTCCTGAATTTATAATATTGTCATGTGTCTAGTGCATATAGTATGCATATCTGTGTACAGCTGTCATGGTGTTCTTAACAACCTCTTGCCAGAGTGACACCACAGGCAAGCTGGGCTTCGAGGAATTTAAGTATCTGTGGAACAACATAAAAAAGTGGCAGGTGAGTGGCAGTCTTTGAAATTTCCTAGCACCCAAGACCCCCAATCCATGGAAGCACCATGTCCCATGATGCTCAATCAGACTCTATCCTATCTCCACAGGCCATATACAAACAGTTTGACTTTGACAGATCAGGGACCATCTGCAGCTCTGAACTCCCAGGGGCCTTTGAGGCAGCAGGTAGGCCAGGGACATGATGGTGTTGGGGGTGGGATTGATGAGGTAGTTGAATCCTGGGAATTAGAGTAGGTTGGGCCACATGGCCTTCACACCTAAGAGACTGAACCATTTTCAGGATTCCGCCTGAATGATCATCTCTACAACATGATCATCCGGCGCTACTCTGATGAGGAAGGAAATATGGATTTTGACAACTTCATCAGCTGCTTGGTCAGGCTGGATGCCATGTTCCGTGAGTAACACTCCAGCTCTCTTCCCGGGCAGGGATTTGTTAAAGGTCTGTTCTCCAAAGTTTCCTCTAAGCCTGACTTTGAGCTGTGCAGTGCTAGGGGCAGAGCAGTGATGGAAACAGCCCCAGTTCTTGTCCTTAAAGAGCTTATATTCCACTAGTAAGCCACAAGCAGTGACAGTTGAGACTGGTACTGCTGGGATGGGGAGCCTTTTCAGAGTGATCAGGATTATGAGGGGAAGCTCAGGGGAGAGTGTGGTCAGATTGTGCTTGGGGATAGCCCCAGGGAGTGCCTTTCACAATGAGGAGGTACCTGAGGGGGGGGGGGTGTGTGTGTCAGGGAGACCGCCCTGGAGGGGAGGGCACATGTGAGGGAGGGATGAGGAAAAATGAATGTAGTGAGAGCGCAGGGAGCAGTGTTGCAAGCCAAGGAAACAGTCTGTGTAAAAGCTTTGAAGGGAAAGAGGAAATGGTGCTTTGGGTGCTTTTTTGGTAGACTCTTAGTTCAAAGCATGTTGAACAGCGGGTAGTTGAGGGGGGCACGGGAATAGGAGGGTTGGTAGGAAGTAGGGACTAGGTCATGAGGGCTTGCTTTTCTTTTTTTCTTTTTTTTTTGGTGCTGGAAGTCAAACCTGGGACCTTGCACATGCTAAGTACATGCTTTACCACTGAGCTATACCCAGCCTTTTTTGGGGGGAGGGCGGGTACTGGGGATTTAACTTAGGGGCACGTGACCACTGAGCCACAACCCCAGCCCTGTTTTTTCTTTTTTTTTTTGTATTTTATTTAGAGAAAGTGTCTCACTGGGTTGCTTAGCACCTCATTTTTTGCTGAGGCTAACTTTGAATTCGCTATCCTCCTGTCTCAGCCTCCCAAGCCACTGGGATTACAGTTACGTGCCACTGCACCCAGCTTTATGAGCATTAATGTACTGAATCCTTAAGACATTCCTGTAGATGTAGAAATTATTATTCTTATTATTTTTTTTAAAGAGAGAGAGAGAACATTTTTAAAATATTTATTTTTCAGTTTTCGGTGGACACATCTTTATTTTTTATTTTATGTGGTGCTGAGGAACGAACCCAGCACCCCGCGCATGCCAGGCGAGCGAGTTACCGCTTGAGCCACATCTCCAGCCCATATTATTTTTTTGTAAATATTTTTAGTTGATTAATTGACTTTATTTTATTTATTTATTTTTTATATGGTGCTGAGGATCAAACCCAGTGTCTCACATATGCTATGCAAGTATTCTACCACTGAGCTACAACCCCAGCCCTACTGTCCTTATTTTATGGAAGAGGAACCTAGGATTCAGGGAAGCAAAATTATGTAACTGCAGCCACTCAGCTAGGAAGCTGGAAAATCAGAATTTGAACTTGGGTCTGTCTGAGATCTGAACTGAATAGAGTGAGAGGAGGCAGGAGCAACAGGCATGGTCAGGCCATGCAGGGCTGTGAATGCCAAGTCCAGGGGTGACCAGACTCTACCAGTGACATTGGAGAGCTTTGACAAGTTTTAGGCAGGAGAGAGACAGGCTCAGGTTTGGCTTTAGGAAGATCCTTTGGCCTCCCAAGAGCCCAGGGTAGACAGTGCATTAAGAATTGAAAGAGGCTAGGTGCAGTGATGCGGGAGGCCAGGGCAGGAGGATCATGAACTCAAAGCTAATCTCAGCAATTTAGTCAAGCCCTAAGCAACTTAGTGAAGACCTTTTCAAAATAAAAAATAAAAGGGCTCGCTCGGGATGTGGCTCACTGGTTAAGTGCCCCTGGGTTCAATTCCTGGTACCAAAAAAAAAAAAGATTGAAAGAGAAAAAGTAGAAGATAGAGGGAGTGGACAATAGGGCATATAATGTCCAAAGTTATACATGAGAAGGCCCAAACCAGGCACAGTGGTACACACCTGTAATCCAGCTACCAGAAGGCTGAGGCAGGAAGATCTTAAATTGACACCATCCTGGGCAACTTAGCAAGGCCTTGTCTCAAAATGAAATATAAAAGGCTGAAAGTATAATTTATCTCAGTGGTAGAGAGCCCCGGGTTCAGTCCTTAGTACTACCGAGAGAGAGAGAGAAGGCCCAAGAAATGGCCCTTGGATTTTCTAGCAAGAAGACCAGTAGTAACTGTGATGAGTGCAGTGTCCAGGACACCATGTGTGTAGATGCCTGCCTGGTGACAGCTGTGAGTGATGTGAGTGGGGGAAGAGACAATGTGGCCCTGTTTGCATCAGTTTAACTGTAGGTAGGAACCTAAAGTCAGTTTCAGCAGTGGGGATCGCACCAGATTTTGGGGGCAGGAATTGGAGTCTGCAGAGCCTCCCCAATATCCTGTTGGTGGAGACTGGAGAGAATGGAGCATAGATGTTAGTGGGAGGCTTGGGGTTCCAGTCCCAATTTCTTCCCTTTATTTTTCTTTTTTTTTTTTTTTTAAGAGAGAGAGAGAGAATTTTAATATTTATTTTTTAGTTTTCGGCGGACACAACATCTTTGTATGTGGTGCTGAGGATCGAACCTGGGCCGCACGCATGCCAGGCGAGCGCGCTACCGCTTGAGCCACATCCCCAGCTCTCTTCCCTTTCTTATGTTGTGACCCAGAGCATGTCACTTCACTTCTCTGTACTTCATTTTTAAATGACAATCACTGGGCTTGATGGTACATGACTGGGGAGACTAAAGAAGGAGGATTGCAAGAAGGAGGCCAGCCTGGGCAACATAGGGAGTCCCTGCCTAAAAAAAAAGAAAGGATTCGGGATGTAGCTCAGTGGTAGAGTGGCCCTGCTCAATCTCCAATACTAACCACTTATCTCACAGAATTGGATTCAATGAGTTAATATATGAGAAACACTTTGCACAATGTTTGGCACAGAGTAAATGAGCCAGCTATGACTTTTTTATCATCCCATTGAGTAGTATATCATTATCATAATCTCCCCATCCCCCATATAAAAGTATCCTTTCTTTCTCCTCCAGGTGCCTTCAAATCTCTTGACAGAGATGGCACTGGACAAATCCAGGTGAACATCCAGGAGGTAAGAACCCCCTTTCTTAGGTGTGGGTACTTAGAGAGACTCTGTCCCTCAGCCCTGTATACCAGCTCAGAACTCTGCCCCCCCCCATCCTATTTTCCCGACAATCCCTGAGTGTAGGCAGAGAAGGGGGTCTGGTATTCTGGGGTTCCCTGCTCCTTACTCTGTGCCTTTCTCTCTCCAGTGGCTACAGCTGACTATGTATTCCTGAATGGCAATCCCAGACCTGTCCCCTCACTGCCTCGCCATTGGAGCCACCCCAGATCCTGGGTTTCTCCCAAGGCCCAGCCTGTCTGCAGTCACTTCTTCATAGGTCCTGCTACCCACAGACCTTTCCTTCACCCAGTCCTTGAAACCCAGTTTCTTAGGCAATAACCAGGGCCCATCATGCCCCAACATGCCATACCCTGAGTGTTACCCAAGCTCTAAGACATTCTAGTATGTTCTGCCCAAGGGTCACCCAACCCCACCACACCCATCTCACACACTCTCCATTACCTCTTTCCTATATCTGTGCCAAGCCAAATACTCAAGTGGCTTCCATGCCCCAAGGTCCTGTCTCAGTTCTGAGAAGATCACTCCAGTTCCCACACACCCTGGCACACTCATTCAAATTACCACCCAAGCAGCCAAATAAACTCCAGGCCATTGCAGGCCTGCACACCCCAGTGCCTTTGCCTGTACTCTGCTTACAGCCTGCCAGGCCCAGGAGGAAATAAATGTATCTCAGTTGCTGCTCCCTATTCGATCTGCCTCCTGTTCTGGGAGTCAAGGGGTGGTTTGGGCTCTGGGGAAGAGAAAGTCTTGGGAGTAGGATAGGTGGGGTAGGGTGGTTTTGTCTATCTCCATGCCTATCCTCAAGATCTGCATATCGCCCAGAGCCTGGTTCTTGCAGAGAATCCCATACAGGCCCTATGGAGCCTGAGGCTGGGACCCAAAAGCCCAAGTGGTCTCTGCTTCTCCTTCCAGAGCCTGAGCTTGTAGGAGGTGTCAGTGCCCTCTGGATTCTGCCCCCCAGGGTCATGTTTGCTCCTCTTTCAGCTTTGTTCTTTAAGCCAGTCTCTGTCATCACTTCCCTCTGCCTCTTACTATGTCATGGGCTGTGCTCAGTGGCTTCCTCCCTCAGTGGGTCTCTGCAGGGCGAGGGGCTGCCATCTGGGTTACAAAGCCCCTGGATACCATTCCAGGTCCCCAAACCCCAAAAAGCAGTCCAGGGGTGCTGTCTGAAGCCATCAGCAACATCCTGGTCCAGCATGGGAGATCAAGGGCCAGGGTAATGGACTATCCACAGGGCAGACATTCCTGGCTGGTGGGAGGATGGGCTGGGACACACACACACACACAAGAGGCCAGAGCTGCGTTGGGTTCCCAAGAAGCCAATTTATTGATGTTTATCCAAGTCCCTTAGGTCCTCCAAACTTCTTGGTCTCACTTCTTGTGGGGGAAGGAGGCCCAGCCAAGGCAGTACAAGCTGTAGACACTGCCTGGGATGGGAGAGTGGGGGATACAGAGTGAGACCCTAATCTCCCCTCCAGACCTCATCTCCCACTTTTAAGCCCCCCTACAGGTTCCCCAACACCATCCTGGATCCCAGCCCCAGTTCAGAGGTCAGCTCCCTTTCCAAACAGGACCCCTGGTGGAACCCCACCCTACTCCCCACCTCCCACCCTGAAGGCTTTGATCAGGACCAGAGAAGGGGCTTTGTCCTCAGCTTCTACCTGGGCCCCAGACCCATCACTAGTCCAGCTCCCTTTCGGAGACAAACCCAACTCCTAAGTAGCCAGCCTTGACTCCAGTCCCATCCACCAAACCTGGCCAGCTGAGGACTCAACCCCTTCCCAAATTGCTAATCCCCAGCTCAGACACTAGCAAAGGCCCCGCCCAAATGCCAACAGGAACCAGCCCCCTTTTCCACAGGTAGCTCAGGACCAGCAAGCCCAGCACTCACCCCCCAGAGTCAGCGTCATGGTCAGTCGGTACAGGATGTTGTCAGTTCCCCCGCCCTTCAAGTGCACTGGGAGGTCATTGTCTGCCTGAGTGTGGGAGTGAGGAGTGAGAACGGATGCTGGCTGCCTCACTGACCTCAACCCCAGGCCCTGCTCAGAGACCAAGCCTGCAGCCCTGGCTCTTCCCCACCCTGCCTACCTGGAAGAGTTTCTGTTTCTCGGGCACTCGGTTCTGAAAGTGGTGCCTGGTGGTTGAGCTGAAGGAGCGAATCAACGCCTGGGAGACCTGAGGGTACAGCAGGTGGATGGGTTGGAGGCAGCTGGAGGGTCATCCCTAAATGGGGCTGGTGAGGCCTGTACTCGGGGACCAGTCTATCCCTAAAGTGACCTAAAAATAAGATTCAACTGCCAGTGAGGGCAGGGAAGGAGGGGCCTATCAAGAAAGGCCTGGAAGAAGAGTCTTAGTGCCTGGAGAGGACGGCTTAAGGTTAGAAGGCTGGCTGGACGGTCCTGGAAGGCAAGAGGACACAAAAAGGGGACTCCTGTTCTGGAAATCCCAAGTCCTGAGATAATGAGGGGTGGGGGTTAGACTAGGTCCCTCGGACGTTTCTAGGTTGTCTAAGAAATCCCAAGTAGGGGTAGGGGTCTCAGTGATGCAAAGGGAATCCTGAATGAAGGAGGTTTAAATCCGGGGATCTGGGCCATGTTAGAGGTCCTGGCTGTCTCAGAAGATTAGGTTTTGGAGGAGGGTCCCAAACCCTGAAGGGGGCTCACGTTCCAAGACCCCAGATCTTGGAATGTTTAAGGAGTCACGGGTTATGGCAAGGGCTTCTGGGTTGGGGGCTCCGGCCCAGTCCTTGGGGTCCCTCACCCGCAAGGCCCTCATTCTGCGTCCTCCTCTTCAGCTGGAGTCACCTCCCCTCTCCACCCAAGGACACACGGTGCCCTCCTCCTGGTGCCCTCCTCCTGGTGCCCTCCCCCTCCCGGGGAATCCAAGCCACGCCCCCTGCGTACGCGGCGGGGCAGCTGGCTGGGGACCTGGCCTCGCCCAGCTCTTGACAGCTGAGGATGTGACCTCCGCCCGGGCTGCGCTGGGGGCGGGGAGCCCAGCAAATCGGATTTTCCAATAGGCACGCCCGGCCCGCGCCGTGAAGGAAACCTCCCTCTGCTTTCTCGAGATTTCTGTGGGTCCAACAGGAGAGGAAAGCCGCGCCCGGGAATGCACGTTTGGGTGGTTTGCGGGGCCAGGGCAGTTCCCCCCCCCCCCCATCTCTGCCCTGGAGTTTGGTTAGGGAAGAGCGAGTACGGGCAGTGACTGCACCTCAGAGATTTAATACCAGGGCAAGTCGGGATCTTCCTAGAGTTTGTTGAAAGCAGTAAATGAGCTCATATGAGATACGAGAGCATAACTGAGCCTACACAGTAATTGCAGAGAAAAACCATGGCCATTATTTTTAGCGGTAAAGTATATATGTGTGTATGTATGCATATGTGTGTATATGTATTCCTACCCCCCCCCACACACACACTTTCTTTTTCTTTTTCTTCCCCCCCCCACTCCTCCTCCTCCGTTGGAGTCCAGGGTCTAGTGCATAAGGCTGGGCAGGTGCTCCACCACTGACTGAGCTACATGCTCCCAGCCTCACTGCCTGCCCCTCAAAAAAAAAAAAAAAAAAAATTCTTACTTGTAATTGGACCCAGGAGATCACATATACCAGTCAAGCAGTCAAGCTCTCTACCACCAAACTACATCCCCAGTCCTTTTATATGTTTTTAAGAAGACAGAGTCTTCTTAAATTGAACTGCTTGTCCCTGAACTTGTGATCCTCCTGCCTCAGCCTCCCCAGTAGCTGGGGTTACAGATGGGTGTCTAAATGTATTTATACTTGATTTCTTTCTTTTTTGTACTGAGGATTGAACCCAGGTGCACTCTCCCATGGAGCTACATCCCTACTTCTTTTTATTTTGAGTTACCAGGGCTGGCCTAGAACTTGTGATCCTCCTGTCTCAGTCTCCCAAGTGGCCACTGTACCATACTAAACAATGTATTTTAAAGCAAATGCCAATATCATATCTCATATTTAAATGTTACCCTACAGAGTGCAGGCAGGGGAGCAGACAACTGGCCATTGGAAGAGTGGGTGTGTGGTGGGAGTCTGGGTACTTCAGGGCAAAAGGCTTCCTACCATCTGAGTCACAGGATCACTGGGAGTTTGCAGAAGAAACGATTGATCCATGTATGACCTTCTGGATCATAGGTGACCCAAAGGGTAATACATTTTTTCCCAGAACTGGGGATGGAGCCCAGGGGTGCTTTACCTTAGCCATTTTATTCTTAAGGGTTTCACTAAATTGCCAAGTGCTGGCCTCAAACTTGCACTTAGCCTCTCTGAGTCACCGCTTCGGCCTCCCTCCTGGTATTACTGACATGTGCCACCATGTTCAGTAATAAAACTTTCCTTATCTCACCAAGAGGACCATGGTTACAGCCTGGACAAGGATTAACCCATAGGTGCCAGGATGTGTGGAACAATATCTTCATGTAAAAAGCAATGAAGCCCCAAATCTTGGAGGAATCTCTAAGGTTTTGTACACAAAACTTGGAGTGGTTTGTTTACATACCAAGGACTGGAGTGCCAGCCTTTCCAGGAGGGAGGTGACAAATTCCTCTTTATTGTTAATATTATTATCTTTTTTTTTTTTTTTTTGTACAAGGGATCGAACCCAGAGGCACTTAACCAATGAGCCGCATTCCCAGCCCTTTTTTATTTTTTATTTTGAGACAGGGTCTTGTTGAATTGCTGAATCTGGCCTCGAATTTGCGATCCTAAGCCTACCAAATTGCTGGGATTACAGGCGTGGGCCACCACATCTGGCACCTGTGTGTGAGGAGGTAGATTCTAAAAGTCAATGCCTAAGGTGAAAATAACATGTTGTTCAAACTTTTCCTGAGCCAAGTGTGGTGGTGCATACCTGTAAATCCAGTGTCTCAGGAGGGTGAGGCAAGAGCACGGCAAGTTCTTTCATGGGAGAAGACATGTCTTCGGAGAAAGGTTGACAGAATTCCCAGAGATAAGAGGGAACTTGACTCTGTCTGGACCATCAGGGTCATGGCATATGTATTGGAAAAGAATTTCAGCAGCACCAGTCTTTAGAGGTTTATTTAGGAAAATAGATACAAATTCAAGGGAGTATGCAGGATATCTTTAGAGTGAGTGATAGCAACTGTTGATATGGGGTGTTAATGTTTATAGAGATGGTTGCTAGGGGCTGGACTAGAGATGGAGCTACATAGTTTTGGGCCACTTTTATTCTGCACTGTGTATTGCCCGAATCTTACTGGGCAGGGACAAAGGGCATGTTGCTCAGGAGGTGCCATTGTTCCTGGGTGTTTTCAGGAATTCATGGTTCATGGGCACTTCCTTTGAGACTCAGTATCTTTGCCTTTATTCTCAAATTCCTATCTCAGTTCCAGGCCAGCCTCTGCAATTTAGCCAGACTCTGTCTCAAAATAAAAGGGCTGGGTTCCCAGTACCATAAACAACAAACAAGCAAAATATTTCCCTTGAAAACACCTTATAATGGAGCCATTTTGGAAACTAGGGCATCATCTTTTATTATGTCAAACACAGCCCTTTCTCCAGGCTGAAACACCTCACTGTGGCTTTGTCTAAAGATCAGTGTAGGTTTCAGTGTAGAGAACATATTGAATGAAAATGTGCCCCTCATCCAGGTAAGAGATGAGAATCAAGTGTTGAGGTTCAGAATACCCTAAAATAAAGTACCCTGAGCAAATTGCAGAAGCAGAAAGTTCACTCTGACCTACTCCCCACCCCAACCCCAGCCTCTTTCTGTATGAAGCCTGGTCATAAGAAGTCTCTGACTTATTTTGTCTGAAAGTAGGTCATAATCCTCATTTCAGAGTTGTCCTGCCTATACACAGAGGCAAGAATCTGAACAAATAGGCCCTGACAAGTGGCATCCTGCACCTACCTAGCCTCCACCCCGAAGAACTAAGTTCTTCACCCTGGAAGGTAGTGTGGTTGCTCTACGTATCTATATGTTGACTTTATTTTGTTGTTTATTTATTTAGGTGCTGGGGATTGAGCATGCTAAGCACACACTTTACCACTGAATGCTATGAATAGCCCTATCTATATGGTGACTTTAGACTCCATTGTGCCCACAGCACATGGCATATGGGTGGACTTGATAAATATTTGTTAAAGGAAATATAATCCAAATGTTCTTTGACTTGATAGGACATAACTGGGTGGAGAGATGCACAGCTGTAATTCCAGCTACTCAGGGGGCTGAGGCCGAGGCAGAAGGATCACACTTTTTCTTTTTTAATATTTGTTTTTAGTTGGACCCAATATCTTTATTTATTTATTTATTTTTATGTGGTGCTGGGGATCGAACCCAGGGCCTCGCATGTGCTAGGCGAGCACTCTACCACTGAGCCACAACCTCAGCTCTGGATCGCACTTTTTTAGGGGGCGTTTACTAGGGACTGTACCCAGGGGCACTCAACCACTGAGCCACATCCCTAGCCCTATTTTGTATTTTATCTAGAGACACGGACTCACTGAGTTGCTTAGCACCTTGCTTTTGCTGAGGCTGGCTTTGAACTCATGATCCTCCTGCCTCAGCCTCCTAAACTGCTGGGATTACAGTCATGCACCACCATGCCCAGAATCCCCAGACCTTTTTATTTTTTATTTTGAGACAGGGCCTGGTTAAGTTGCTTAGGGACTTGCTAAGTTGCTGAGGCTGACTTTGAACTTGTGTTCCTCCTGCCTCAGGAGAGTGTGGCTATAAAGGAAGCAGATGACTCACTCACACATTGCACATCACTTGACAAGACCCAGTCTCAAAATAAAAAGGACTGGGAATGTGGCTCAGTGGTAGAGTGCCCCTGGGTTCAATCTCCAGTACTAAATAAGTATATTAAGTAAATAAGTAAGATCTCAGTGCTTCTCTTAGCTTCTATCCATCTTGAAGATATTTCTGGGCATGGGCCCACTCACCCATCTGTTCCTTATAATCTGCTCCTGTAGCGTCAACATTTGGGGAAGAAAATAGAAATCTATCTAGAACATGGTGTATACACCCTAGAGGGGGAGCCCCCTCCTTCAAGGTGGCGAGGGGCCCCCTCATTACCTATAATCCCAGCAGCTTGGGAGGCTGAGACAGGAGGATCACTAGTTCAAAAATAGCCTCAGCAATTTAGTGCAACCCTAAGCAACTCAGTGAGACCCTGTCTCTAAATAAAACACAAAAAGGGCTGGGGATGTGGTTCAGTGGTTAAGTGCTCTGAGTTCAATCCTCAGTACCAAAACAAGGAAAAAATCTAAAGTTTGGTGACTTAGTCCATTTTTTGTTGTTGTAACAAAATACCTAAAACAAGGTAATTTATAAAGAACATAATTTTATTTGGCTCATGGACCAAGAGGATGGGAAGTCCAAGAACATGGTGCCAGCTAACTGCTTGACTTCTGGTGAGGCCTTGTGCTGTGTCATAACGTGGCAGAAGGGTAGAAGAGGAGGTGAGCACACAGGAAAGAGAAAGCACAAGGGCAGCTTTGCTTTATAACAATCCTTTCTCAAAATGACTAACCCACTCCTGGGACAAAGACATTAATTCCTTTTTCTTTTTTCTTTTTTTTTTTTTTTTTGGTACTGAGAATTCAACTCGGTCACTGAGCCACATCCTCAGCCTGTTTTGTATTTTATTTAGAGACAGGGTCTCACTGAGTTGCTTAGTGTCTCGCTGTTGCTGGCTTTGAACTGCAATCGTCCTGCCTCAGCCTCCTGAGCCACTGGGATTATAGGTGTGTGCCACCAAGCCTGGCTCAAATTCATTTTTTCTTTTTTTCGTGGTGCTGGGGATGAAACCCAAGAACTTATGCATGCTAGAGAAGTGTTTTACCACTGAGCTATATCCTCAGCCCTTTCAATTTTATTTTTATTTTGAAACAGGGTCTCACTAAAT